TAGCCTGCACTAAGCCAGAAATCGAATTAAATATTTTTATAATCAACAGCAAGAAATCCACCATCAGAATAAAACAGATTTTTGGTGAAGATAAATTTTTAGATCATCAGGTATTGACCATCAGTGTCTGTAAATGATATATTAACATAATTTTACATCTGTTTTGGATGACATAGAACTTCAGTTGGTCTAAAATTGTAATGAAGGGAAATCAAAAAGATGGTAACAGTAAACCTTCGGTCAGTTTGAACAGGCGGGTAGTTCAATCATGCAAGTTTTATTCCAAATAGTAATAGTTTAAACTTTTTCTGGTTTTGTTTCACCTACAATTAAAACATTTTGAACATTATGTGAGACCACTCATATAACTATTGATAAATATATTGGCATTGCAATATCACTCAATGTGGTTACTAAGCACATCGATGTTCAACGTGCGATGTAAATGTTCATTATAAGCAATTGATAACACCAAATTACACTACATGTCACTAAATAGCATTGATTCAGTGTGATTTCTTTCACATCTTGACGTCACACGATGCTTGCGTCAGCTGACACAACTTGAGGCCCAACCCTGTATCACAAGTGATTAGTATATAAAGACCACTGAATGTCATCACTGTCAAATAGTAACTTCACATTTCAATTATCCCTCTTTACTATGCCAAATACATGATTGTAGGAGTCATAATTATAACAAGCATTGATCTGTAGTCATAGGTCAACACTTCACATCCTGATATAACAAGTTCCACAAACAAAAGAAGACATTTTTGGGGCTATATTTAACATGGTTTCATTTGTTCCGATATCCTAGGTGATGAAGAGCAAAATAAAGCCTGTGATTTCTTAACAGTCAAATATGTGCAGTAAGTGTTTCAAAAGAGAATCTTAATATAATCACAATATTCTTTATTCAGAAAATGCCATTACTTATCTGTAGTTTCCTCCCTAGTTCAAATGATTCTAACTATCTCTCCGACTATGTAGGTAGTCAAAACCCTTCAGAATATTTCCTGCCATGGATGCTTTTAACCACTTCATCGTGATTTTGGGCAATGTTGACTCTGACAGTTCAAACTTTAATTTCTTTTCACTGGCATAATTTCACACAATTCTTACAGTTCAACAATATTCATTTAATTTTGCTGGAACTGACCAAAGGCTTACCATATACAGAAAGCACTAAGAATGATGGTTTCTAACACTTAATGTATGTAACAAAAAATAGCTTAATAATTAATATAAATATAAACAGTTGAATAATCAAAAGGACAAACATAACACTTCAAAACTGCTATGAGGCCATTAGCCATAAACAGCGAAGATAATTGAGTTAGTTCAAAACTTTTCTCAAGTGATGAAGAAATGCTGATAAATACATCATTGTTCTGTGGCTTTAAGTCGGCTGGAATGACGGTAAATTTATAGTTATCAAGCTACATATAATACAAAGTGCCTAATGACCTTGACAGTCACCTGGAATAAGCAACATTGAATATAAAGGTTATAGGGTAAGTAGCTTTCAAGTGTCATGAAAATGAAAGTGTGACATTGATAGTTAGGCTTACGTGATAGGTTTTAAGCACTTGGGAGGTCAGTCAGTGTTAATATATGCATACCATCCAATTGTCATTCTATACTTATAACTCTTACCAATGGAAAATAAACAACTTCATTCTGAAAATTTTTTAATTTCCTATAAAACTAAACTAAATTTTACCTTCTCCCCATGGAGGAATGCAAGACCATGAGGCTATGAAATAAACAATTTCAGAGATGCATCATTGGACTCTTCAATCCATGAAGAAAATTTGATTCTACACTGACTAGATTTTTGAAATTTGAGTCAATTTGACATATAGGCCCTTCCCTCAGGCTACTTAGATGTGGGCACCATTATGGTTCTTCTTTAGCCTTGGAAGGTTTCAGCAAAATTTCACCAACGATATCAGATAAAAGGTGATCACAATTGGTCACCATGAGACATAAGGCATTGAATTAATATTGTAAGTCTGTAACAAAGAAAAATCTCACAAAAACCGTCAACATTTCCAATGTTCTTTTAAAATAATCTGACATGATAATCAGCAGTGTATTTGATCTATATGTTGATTCATATAATCTAAGCATCTAATGGATGTGAAAAGGTAGGGGTCACCTGCCCGACCACATGGATTTACCCTGGGTACTCCGTTTCCTCCCAACCTAAGACCCTTTGTGTGCTTCCATCTGAGCCAACAAGAGTGATTCATAGAAGTTGGAAAAACTTGCTTCACAATTAATGTAAAATAAATCAGGTTGATTATTTTATTACTGGTCACTTAGAAATAGTAGACATTTTATAATACTGTTTTTCTGATTTTATTTCTAATTACTAATTATATATTTGAACAGAAAGATAACAATTCCAGGGAAAAAAGTAAAACAGAACGACAGAAATTTCAATGGAAATGATGTCATTGAATCTATTACAACATGCTGCAGCGTAATAGTGCCAATAAAAGAATGAGCATATAGAAATTCTTAATGTAGTTTTATCAGAAAGATCCAAAAAGAAGCAGTCTTCGCAACAAAATACTGCAAACTGACTTTTCTGTGTGATTCATCAAATACAAAATCACAAAAACTAATTAAAACATGATAATTAGCAACAATTTTCAAGTTAAAACCTTATTCATTGATAAAACACATCATTATTTACATCTGTGCAGTTAAGTCTGAACCTAATGTACAAGGTATGTATAGCTATAATGCATAGTAACTAAATATCTGTGACAATGATTTTATTTCCATGAGTGATGGAGTCTCAAATCCTTGTTCAGACTACTAGCCTCTATCAGGGGTCTGGCAAAATATTTTAAACCACCAGGCGCAGGATTGGTAGGATGAAAAATTTACTCGTCCAGATTGGAAATTTACTCGTTCGGATTGGAAATTTACTCGTCCAAATTCAGCTATGAAATGGTGACTTAATCAGCGAGGATGTGACATGTGACTTTTTTTCTATTTTTATTTAAGAACGAGGGCACCTGACATCAGTATGACAGCTGGAAAATGACTAAGGTATTCCGAATGCTATATTTGACGTCATGGGACTTCCGTTGTAATCGAAAGTTAGAGAGCAGACTGGAATATTTTGTTTTCAAAGTACCGTAAACACCTTTCTTTGTTTTAAATTTTCTTTACATTTTTATTGAAATTTAAGTTGTAACATTAATATCATTGGAAAAAAGTACTCGTCCGACGGACGATTGAAAAAAATAAATCTGGTTGTCCGAGACAATTTTCACTTGTCCATGAGGACCGCACGAGTGCTTTTCCGGACACCTGTCTATACCATGCCATACACTGTAAAAGCATTAAAATAACTTTGATCCACTTTCACAATGTATGAAAATAGTACTGAATTAATTTGAAAGTTAGCAAGGCTGCTTTAATCACCACATTTGAAATTAATAAAGTATTGAAAGTTATGGTCAATGATCATGGTCTTTAAATGACCCTACTTACTAATTAGAGATGAAGCTTTATACAAGGTTTATACATCATTGTTTACAAAAGTAAATTTCCTTGAACTTGTATTGCTGAAATCACAACAGTCTGTAACTGTGAAAGAAAACACATTTACAGTAGTTGTAATTTCATATTCAGTGATTGAAAATTTTGTGTTGTTTATCCCTTGACAATGACCTTGCATTTTTGTGCTGGTACTGAAATATTTTCACAATTTCTAAAATTACTTTTCACACACCATTGTGCTATTTCCATAGGGATTAAGAAAACTTAACCGTTAAAGACTTTTCCTGAACGCATAGCCCAATAGCTCTCAACTCTTCCTCCAAACCAATCATTTATCAGGTTTTGTTTTTGTACAGTTCACTGTTAATTTACATCAGAACCACATAACACCAGAAAGAGTTCCCAACTAGAAGATTTAATTAAATAAACCAAACTTTTAAAGTCATACTTTAACTAGCATGTAAAATTCTTGTTTCTATTAAAAAATCATCAACATGGTAATTTACATGTTTGTTACATTTCTGACAGAAACTCTTGTATATGATTGTGAAATAGGTTGGTTACAAGTTTTTCATCTGCATGCATCTATCTTCCTAATGCTTGATGTCTTCCTGCTGTCAGTGTTCTGTCAATGTGTTTGTTTTGGGCAGCACTGAATTGTCTCCTTATGGAATTAATGGTTGTTATAAATGAGTTTACAGGCAAACATCACATTGCTTACATTTACCTTCACTACATTGTGATGTAACTGTTATATGCTGATTTCAATCTGATTTAGAAATATACTAAAAAAAATTATTCCTTGTCAACAGTAAATAGCAAAATTCATTTAGAGGGTGTATTGTCACCATTTCTGTGGTAACTCTAATCAGGCTGAAATGGTCACAAGCTGAATATCATTTAGGACACGTAATATTACATGTTTTCTTGATACCTTACATAGTCACATCACTGTGCAAGAAGACAAGTTCCACTTAATTTGCTGCAGAATGTTTTACTAGGAGTACATTCCCCTATCTTAAGCATACGACATTCTAGTATAGAGTTACTTCCCTTGACAAGGGACTTTTTCTAATTTCAAAGCACTACATAGTCATTCCTGGAAAGCAACATTTGCAAAGTGAAGGACTTAGGTCCTGAAGATCATCTATGTAGTTACTATTTTTCCCTTTTATTTTTACCCGATTTTTAACTCTCATATAAACTAACTTTGTAAAAATGAATGAGAACTGATTTTTATGAAATTTTATGCCAAATAAAATGAGCAAGTAATACATGACAGTGACAATCGTAACTAAGTACATATACATGTATGGTATTCCCTAACCTAGACATTTAACGTTATCTCATCTCAATAATTCTGTAATATTGATTTACAGTGGAAAATACTGATTATTAAAACATACACTTCTTTTTAGGCAAGGTCAACTACCTTAAAATGACCAAAATCCTAAGTAAATCACTTTATTACTTACTCATTACATTCCTTGGAAAGTTGAGATGGAATTTGGTATTTACAGTCAAAGATCATGGTAAGAGTTTCGCTGTCACTAGCCTCATGGAATGGGGGACTACCACACACTAGCATGTACAGGAGGACACCAAGACTCCACACATCTGTAAAGAGAAGCATGTATATAAGTCAAGTTAACAGTTCCTAATATGCCAAGATAAAGAGTCACAAAATATACAACTATATCATTACAACTTTTTATGATTATTAAAATCATCAGGTACCTGTAATCACAACTTATAGGATTTAATTTTTATAAGGAAATCTGGACTGCAGTTTTTAAGAAATTTTCAGAATTGTCATGAAACGACACACTACAATAATCTGTCATTTTAGATTGACTCATACATGTATATCTTAGATATGATCCTTCATTTTCTTTCTTTTTTTTCATCTAGTAATATCTTGTTTTATAATCTGTATAGCTAATTACAATGTAAAGACAAAGAGAAACCTCTAATGGGATTTGAGAATGATCTTATCTTAATGTTTCAATTCACAAAAAGAAAAAAGTAATAATGAAACTTTAAACTCTTAAAATGTGCAATGTAGAGGATTTCTAAGATCCTGAACTAGAAACAAACTTAAAATAAGTAAGAAAGTTACCCAAGAAAAAAAGGCATAATCCCTTAAACAGTCTTATCTATTAGTAATTGAGATTTTTTCATTTAACACTAATTAGGGTTATGAAATATTATATTACCATAATAACCATCAACAAGTCCATGTCTTGTAATAAACCCATCTATATCTATTTTCACTGTCCTGAAATAAGCCCAGTCTTGGTTTCAACTTAGGATCTGAATTTTGTCATTTTCACTTACTTCAGGATAAACACTATCTAGATAAATGCCTATGATAATCAACTACATATCTGATGATTTTAACTCCTCCAAGAGAAAGATTTCAAACATCAATGTCCTTTTATATATCAAACATCAATGTCCTTTTATATATCAAATAAGTTTATTTCTGTATGACCCCAATATTAAGATTTTCAATTGTATCTTAACAAATAAAAGTAGAGATATATAATTATTTATCATACATCAATGAAATATAATGGATTTTACAGGGAAGACCAAATGTAGGTTTTAGATAAATTGCATATGACAATTAAGAATGACCCCCATACAAATCCATACTGACAACTACCACACTCATTGTAGTACAGCAATTGTCTAAATATTATTTTGGTATTGCTATAAATATCGCTGGAAACAGGCAATGAAAATTTCCTGTTTGTATGCTATGTGTATACATGTATATAATTAGATCTTTGTAACCGCATAAGCTTGAATATGGCAGAATCAGGATACTGTCATCACCACAGGCACATCAGTATAACTGATTATGGGTCAGGTGAGATCAGATGTATTTTTAACAATTTTTAAAAAACATTTTCAGCTTGTTATCTTCAAAGCTGTTAAACTTTCTATGCACAGCCCTTTTCCTGTACCAACAAATACATATGGTAACACTACCCACATAATGCTTTAATCAGAAAACAATTTTCCTTTTATAAACCTTATTTTATTTTCATTTCATCGATAACTCTCGTATCATTAAATGAAACATAATTTTGTATTTCTTAAAACAGCAAACCAGTCTGTGCCCGCATCCTTTTTGCTGACAAAATATCACTGGCTGTTGATGGGACAACAAGAGCCAGCAAACAAACCCAGAAGAAGAGTTAAACAATAGAGCTATTGTTTTTATTATTCAAATTAGTATGTTTGTACTACATGTACACTCAATGAACTGAATATGACTATAATCAGTCTAAAAAATGTTTGTAGGTGTGCTGTGGCTCTATTAAAATATATTTCACAATTTTCAAACAAGGCTAATTGCCTTGAAATTGTATTTTTTCAAGATTTTGGGGGAAAGAAAGGGTCTCAGATCAAACCATATGTATTTAAGATCTGTAACTAATTTAGATCATTCTATGTGCCAATGGCACCTACAGACACATAGATCCTAACACTTGGCAATGCTACAATATATCTATCACAGTTTGGTACCATACAAGTGCCCATATAACATATGTGCAAGTTGTTGGAGGTTGTACTTGTCACTAAGAATGTTGATAGAACCTGACACAAGGCTACATGTCCAACTCTTGCAACAAGCGAGCTCCCAACAGCTACTGTTGATACAAGGTTAAACTCAAGGTCAAAGTATATATCTATACAGTGTATATATAAATCATATCACTACTTCCACAAGTATGATCAGTTCGGAATCTTCTTCTACAGTACTACACCAAATGAAGGTCATTGAGTACATCTAGCATAAATATAATCTCCAGTCCTTTACATACAAAAGATCTTGGAGAGAGATTATCAAATCAAGGGTTTCACCCAACTTGGCACCTCTATCTGGCCAAGCATAACACTAATCTGAAAACAACCACAGCATGGTGTAAAAACATGTTCTGTATTTAGATGACCGATTCTGTGACCAGACCAAACAAGAGAAAATGGTATAGAATGCCGGCAAAGTGATCCATGCACTCGATATCTCCAACAAACACTTTCTACCTCACACTATAGTGTCTTCTAGATCTATTGAGTTTTCCAGTGGAGCAAGGCTAGGACCTGACAATGTTCAAACACCAGTAAATCACAAATAAGCATTGATCTGCAGCACTTTGTGTCTCTTTTCCTGATCTAATTTGTATCTATGTTCCCTATGGTATCTGAAAGCAGCATTACGCATTAGATTTTACCCTAAATATTTTTCTTTTAAATATCTTAAGTGTGTCAAACACTGCTTTCAATGAAAACATTCTTACTTATATAACTTATCAATCAGGAACTGGACAAAAATAGGTACAATGTTGTTGGATATCTGTTTGCTAATTATTGGAAATACCTTAAGGGCAGTCCATCCCTTCTCATCTTATGGGATAAAACTTGATAAACAACTTTTATTTTAATTGTACAAACACTTACACCACAATAAGCACAGACACTGTAAGTGGCCACAGTACATATAGATCCAGATCTTTTCACACAGTAAATAAAAAATAGATATAGAAATGGATCAAACACATTTCTATCTACAATGTTTGTTTACATCATTCATATTTTCGTTTTAGGTCTACTATCTATGTAATTGGTCATACTAAATATCATTTGTGCATTTCTTAAATAAAAAATGTGACCTTTTTCTGACAGTTTTGCAAAATGTACAACCCTTTCTTTGTATGGAAACAAGCTACACTTGCACAATTGTGATAACATATGGTAATTTATATGTAAACTAGCTTTTACTCGGGAGCACAAGTGACACTTTTTTTTCTCTCTATTAACTTATTTAATTCAATGGCAATGTTGAGTGTTAAATAATTGATTGTGTTCAATTACAGGAAAACAAAAACTATATATGTAACAATACAAACAATATTTAACAATACAAACAATATGTAACAATACAAACAATATTTAACAATACAAACAATATGTAACAATACTAACAATATTTAACAATACAAACAATATGTAACAATACAAACAATATTTAACAATACAAACAATGTACCTAACTACCATACCAAATGTATTTCTTGATACTCCAAACTTTTAAAACAAAACCTACAATTCTGGACACTCTTAAACTTATTTGTAGTTGTGCATAAACATTTACACTATACATGCAAATGTGTAACTGCAGAAGACAGTCCCGTGCACTATGACAGTAAGAATAAAGACCAACAGACATGATAAAAACTCACTAAGAGCTATTTATATTTAATGAAAACAGGAAGAAAAAGGAAGAAACCTTTGTTCTTTTCCCTTACACTTGGACAATGATAAAAGCTAAAAACCAAGGAATCTACAATATTGGTCAATAACACAATCTTTAAATAGTCAGGTTGCATACATATTGCTCAGCAACCAAATCAGTGCCTAATCAATGTCTCTTTGCAAATCAGTGCTGAACTTTATCACAATCAATATTACAGGGCTGAAAACTTAGACCATCTGAGGATACAAGTTGTCTGGTAGTATGAATTACAAAGTAGACATCTATGGACATAAGAGTATTCTCCAGGGTCCAATAAGAAATGGTCAACCACAAATAGTGTGGGTGCAGAAGAATCAACACAGATGTACAAAACAATTTCATTATCTAAAAATAGAGGAGTGGCTGAAAGAACAGATTTTACCCTTGGATGTTAATCCCTTGTGCTGTCAAGGTACATTTTTTATGTGATCTGTAGTATTCAAATTGCACCCCGTTGTTGATGGACTCAAGGAATAAAGGATTTGTGTGTAGATATCAATGATACAGAAACACTGTTGCATGAAAGTTCTTCTTTTTATCTGTATTTGTTCATCACATTCTCTACTTTGTGATGCTGAATCAGAACAGCATAAGATGTATAACAATTTAGATTTAAAGATCTTGTTTTTACTTCAGAAGATGTGGACTATATTAATATCACTGTTTAAGATTAAAAGACCAGCTATATGTATATATCTAGAACATAGGAAACTATAAGTGATCTCAATCATTTCTAAGTAACTTGTCATCTGTTACACGTAAAGGGTATATTGTGTGAACTCAGTTTGTAGCAATTTCTAAATGTAAATCTGAGTGCAACTTCTCACACCAACCCCAATATATATAAGTGAAACATTTACACCTATGTGTACTTCTGTATTATTTTGTTTTAAAAGATATAATTTTGGATTCTACAGTATACTGTCTTACCCTGAACTACAGACTGTTATCAGATTTCCTTGTCAGATCATGTCATATCAACAAATGTATAATGTCAATGATGTTAATACTGAGACAACAACAAAGTTGTACAGGTCAGCAAGGCCATAAAGATAATCCTTTCCCCGAGATAGGCAGATCCCAACACTTGGTAAAAACTTGGCAAGCATCCGGTTTAGAATGTTCATCATCAGACTGAGAATACTTCTATCTCACCTCCACAGGGGAGCAACATTCTAGTACTGTCACTGCCCCACACATTCTTAACCAGATTCTAAACTGGGCGAGAACATTTTTTCAGGGGCACATTTTTCTGACAAATGTAATTCAACCATATATCCATATCATTATATTTGGAACGAAATTTACACAAGTCCCAAAATTAGTATCCTACCCTTCAGCACCAGATATCTATACAATGTACATATACGTTGATGTCAATAAACAGAAATAAATGATCAGACTCTTTGAAGAACTTTTATCCAACAATCTAAATGGAAACGACATTGCATTTATCTCAACCTTTAAGGATTGGTGATGCAATTTATAATTAAGATTTTGTACATTACACATCACAAAACTGTTAGGTAAATGAAAATCCCTTCTAAACAAACAACCAATGACTTGAGGAGGCCTTCATACCTAAGGAGAGCCCTGCAATGTTTTTATTCCTGTTAATACAAGTTGCTTACCATATAATGCCAAATCTAGTCATCTTTTTAGGGGAAGGTGGCGGTGGCTTAGCAATATTTTCAAAACCTCAAACTTTGTCCTGTTTGGTACTATTTTTACAAGTCAGATACATATCATGTACCAAATTAAATATATTTCACTTTGATCGGAAGGTTAAAAATAGGAACTGCTAATCCTATATATATCACCAAACAGATACAGATTTGCCATATGCATGCATGTTAGTGTTGGGTGTAGCAATCTGTATAACAGATCTGGTCCAATTTTCCGCCACATATAAACACAAACCTACAAATGGCCAATACCAATACCTGGTTTCATCAACAGTTAACGCGTTATCTTTTTCAATAGAGCCACTTGCCCAATTGCCTGGCTTTAGTTTCATGTAAACAACAGTAATATAATTCAGCCAATGTCTATTGATAGCTACAATTTGTATATAGCACATGAAATTCTGTGCTTATTCTAATTGTTGCCAGCAATGCAAAGAATATATTATATATAAATTCTTCATTCTTTCTAATGTTGCTATATCAAATGTTCTGTATATTGATAGCAACATTAGAAGGAATACAGAATTTATATATCAAATGTTCTGTACACTGATAGCAACATTAGAAGGAATACAGAATTTATATATCAAATGTTCTGTACACTGATAGCAACATTAGAAGGAATACAGAATTTATATATCAAATGTTCTGTACACTGATAGCAACATTAGAAGGAATACAGAATTTATATATCAAATGTTCTGTACACTGATAGCAACATTAGAAGGAATACAGAATTTATATATCAAATGTTCTGTACACTATAGCAACATTAGAAGGAATACAGAATTTATATATCAAATGTTCTGTACACTGATAGCAACATTAGAAGGAATACAGAATTTATATATCAAATGTTCTGTACACTGATAGCAACATTAGAAGAATACAGAATTTATATATCAAATGTTCTGTACACTGATAGCAACATTAGAAGGAATACAGAATTTATATATCAAATGTTCTGTACACTGATAGCAACATTAGAAGGAATACAGAATTTATATATCAAATGTTCTGTACACTGATAGCAACATTAGAAGGAATACAGAATTTATATATCAAATGTTCTGTACACTGATAGCAACATTAGAAGGAACACTGATAGCAACATTAGAAGGAATACAGAATTTATAATATCTATATTTACAACACATATAGTCATCATTTTAATAAAAGTATAAATAAAAACAGAAATTATGATTTAATAAACTCTGAAGGAAGCATACAGTGAGTGCATCTGTAGAATTGTTTGGGGTACTGAGACATTTCATGATCTGTCCATTTATTGTGTCCAATAAAGGATAATAAGATCCAGCTGCCATTCAAGGAATGTCCTGTCAATGTTCAATGTTTTTGAGGTGGCCTGTCATTGTCATGTATGACAGGAATGTTATAAGATTTCACTCACAGATAAGCGGGTTGGCAGAGAGAACCTTATCCTAATATCTAATAGTTGTGACAATGTCCTGCATTGACAACTTAGTTTAGTTTTTCTCTGAATCTGCATATCATTGTCATTCACAACAACTCTGGTAAACATACTACATTTGGCAGCAATTTAGCCAAAAAAGTATGAAATAAGGACTAATTAGTTCTAAGAAAATACCTCCAATCTCACAACTGACAGTTTCAGAAGGCGTCTGACATCACCTTTGATTAAATTATGCAATGGAATGGTGAAAAAACGAAATGTTTACCGGATAACCAACTTAGACTAATTACGGAAACATAACAAGATAACTAGCCTTCAGCGTTGAATTCTGTCGTAGGATGTTAAAAGCATTGTACTGTACTCCCACTGATTCATATGCTGTTCAATTTTAAAATACAAATATATAACAAATTGAGATTGATAGACTGGAAAAAAATTTAAGTTTATCATACACTTCCACCAAAACCAACTACAAAACATATGTATAGAGATATGTCAATGAGTGTAACAAATCTACTAGTGCAGCACATCCTTAACTTTATTCTAAAGCACATTCTTGCATTTTCACCTCCCAGTAAATCTTTCTCACATGCATGGAAAGAAAGAGTATTTACTGAGGTGTAAGTAAGTGCTCATATGATGGCCTAGTTACAAGTTAAGATGAATGTGGTTAAATTATGAAAAGATTAACATTGCTGAGTACAAAATATACCCAATATGGCATAATGTACATAATAAAGAAACTAATAAGATGTTATAGTCAATGAGATGAGGCGTGGATAGGGAGAGATTTGAACAGGCTAATGTCTGCATTTGCATTTTGCTTTGTCAAAATGGTATCTTCACCTACACCTAATACACCATGAACAGACAGGACACTCAAATGATATATGTCTCAACAATCCGGACCTCATACCTTAAGATATATGCAGCACATACCATTACACATTTCACCTTCAAATAAGGCAAAATGCATAGAAAATGACACGTGAAATATCTAATTTATTCATAGATTATAGACATATATATATTGCCATATGAATTCATCTTTAAAAAACTAATAATAACGTTTTATCAGAAGTTACAGGAGATTACCTGCATGTAGACACAGACATCACAAATTTAAAGAACTTTTGCCACACTACCAAATTCTGTGACATTCAAATATTCTCATTTCAAGCTGATCTTCAGAACCCTTAAGTTATATTAAAAATAATCAGTTTCAAGGAATTGAATTGGTGATCAAGGTCAAGAATTGGGAATCTTGCTTAAAAAATCCTAAAATGAATATATATGTACCCGGTAATGTAATAACACAATGTTAGTTAGAAACTTTGTAGTGTTTTATGCCAGATGTAAACATCCAAAACTATATGCTGTTATTTTTTAAAGACAATCTTTCTTTTTATCATCATAATTTTTAATATGAGCTCATTTTTGGATAAACTATAGTACATATACTATACTACTAATGCTGAAGGTACGTACATGTCAAAATGTAAAGTGTATAAAATCAAGTGTGCTTCAAACAGAATCAAAACACATTAAATATAGAAAAATTATAATGGGTAGGGCTTATTTAAGTAAATGTGTCAAACAACATCACATAGACCAGGATTTGAAGTTGAACCTAAAAGATCCTACTCTAGACTGACACTCTCAGCAAAAAACTTGTCGTTCACATTTCTGTTGTCCCTACAGTTACACAATGAGAGTAATACAATGTAAAATGTATTAAGGACTTATAATTCCAACACCTGCCCATAATTCAAAACCTGGACCACTATATTTGTTTTTTTTTTGCTAGATTTATCGCCTTGCAAACAGCCAATGTAATCCTAAAGTGGAAAGATATTTTGTAGTAGCTGGTGGCTACCTCACTATACAACATGCTGGAGGCCTGCTGCATGCTATAACATTCAGAGCAACCGGAATAAAGAGTCTTGCCTAAGGACACATCCACATAGTGCAGGACATTCAAGGCTCTTGTAACTCCTGAGAAACATAAACCACCCTGAGAAGGCATTGAACCATACATCTCAGATCTTGGTCTTGATGTTATAAAGTGTGTTGCCACCAACTGACATACTGCATTTCCTTTGACCCCAACTGAACTCCAGATCAGAGTACCCGAAGTCAACTTATACAATGATTTAAGTAGATAATAAACACATATATACCACTACTTGCCAATACTAAACTATCTTTGTGTAGGAAGTATTTAATTAGTTATATCTGGCACATCAAAATTGCATGTACACATTCAGTGTACTGTGTGTAACTTCTATATGATAATCCTTCATGTATGCCAGTCTGGGTGGGGTGTTATACATCACCGCATATCCCGATTTTAACAGTATCCTATAATAGCTATCATTTCGGTCATTTTCTTTTTAAACGAGTGACAAATTTACTCATACATTGTTACCAGTAAGAGTTATATCGATAACACCTGGAAAATTGCGAACAGGTGTTTTTCCAAGCCGAACTTTATTGATGTTTATAAATAACAGGAAGTGAATTTTTTCCACTTCCGGTATGATAAACACTCGGTAATAAGCATATTTTTCATACTTCTTGTCACGTAATGTTAACTTACCAACAGCTGGGGCATCATATGAATCTCCTAGAAGAATTTCGGGGGCTGAATATGCCAGTGATCCACACGATGTTTCTAAATTTGAACCAGGTTTAAACTGATTACTGAAACCGAAATCGGTCACCTTCACTATTCCTAACTTCTCGAAAAATACTACGTTCTCAGGTTTCAGATCTCTGTGTACAACATGTAGGTCATGGCAATAAGATACGGCTTCAACAATTTGTCTAAAATATCGTCTGGCAACTTTTTCCTCTAGTCCTTTATTATGTTTCATGATGTAGTCGTACATATCTCCACCATCTCCCAACTCCAGAATCAAGTACAATTTAGTTTGTGTATCGATCACCTCATAAAGCCGGACAACGTTAGGGTGTTGAACAAGCTTCATACACCTTACTTCTTGGAATAAATGAGCCTTTGAAACATCATCTAATTTAGTTTTATCGATGACTTTTACCGCTACTTTCTCGCCGGTGAAAACATGTCTTGCAAGTTTGACTACGGCAAAATGGCCTCGGCCGATCGTATCCTCCATGTCATACAAGCCTGCGATTTTGCCATCGAAATCTTCTCTGTGTCTCCGTGAAGCCATGTTCTTTCCTTATTTCCTTTGACTAATTACAAAACTGGTATCTTACTTAGTCCATCGCGTTGCTAGTGCAAGATCATGCTGACAGTTGCTAACCGTTCTATGAATACACTCCATTTTCGGTAGTATCTGTTGCGCACAGCCATTTGCGCATTACGTCACCAAAAATGCGAACTCGAATGTGAATGAACAAGAGGGCAAAATATGAGAGGTCATTATCTAGGCCAAAATTTGGTTTTTACCATTTAGGTTATTGTTACTGGGAATATATAGTATACTTACAATTAATTCAAAATAATGATATCATTATGAACGAAAGTATCACTTTATTTGCTACAAGGGATCTATTTTTAGTATCTGAAATAAGTTACTTTTAATCCGATAAACACTACAGTTGCAAGTCTTCAGAGTATTTTTTTTATACTTTTGTCTCAATTTAACTAAATCAACATCCGCACTGGTATGTTAACTCCTCTGAGGTAAATATATACCTATGTTTCTTACAAATTTCAATACTAATTGGTTTACTCTTGGCGATGCAGATGGATTTATTTCCCATATTTACCTATTTCGAAACAAATTTATTTATTCTAATTTTTGCCAATATGCTTATAAATGCAAAATGAAATCAGGGACGTATGAAATCAAAACCGCTTATTGTAACACAAACTGACCTACTGCTGACATTTAACAGTTCACCAACAATTCGCCGCCCTGGGACAATTCTATATATAAGCTTAGGTCTACATACAAAGTGAGATTGATTAGGATATGTACAACGTATGCTTTTTCATACGATATACAAATCATATTGTATATGCGGCTTGATGTTTCTGATAACGTAAATAAAACCATTATGAGCCATGGCCCGTATCAAATAATAAAATTCCGATGTCGGTACCCAGTTGATAAGCCGTCTTTAAATCGTAAATATAGTCGTAAGTAGGAGATTAATTGATTGTGTGTTGTGAGTGGTCCATAAACAGCTATAACTGATATAGATGATAAAAGCCTTACATTTTATTTTACAGCGTACATGCGCTTGTCTATTTATATCACAACCACATGAAGCAATGGTTTTTATTTAAACAGCGTATAAATTAACTTAATCAATGTTGATATTTACATTGTATTTTTAAATGTATACGTAACATGTCATGTATGAAACATAACAATTACAGAATTCGATAAATATGATATGATATCATTTAACTGTGAACTGTTGATGTCGAAAGTTATCAAGGTCTACAGATGAATCCCATGCTACAATGGACTTTTCATTTAAAGTGCTCTTTATCTAATACCTTATTGAAGTCTTTTTTAATCTATTAATTTCAATAAGTTAAATAAAGAGGTTAGTGAATGAAAATAAAAACCAGTTACATGATAATCGATAATGGTCTTTTTGATACGAGGTTTAACAATTACTTCGGTGTGTAATGTAAAAGACAGAAAGCGATACTTTACTGGGAAAAGGCGGGAAAAGGCTGTAAAACTTCGTGATTTGATTTACATGTTGTCGATACTTTCCTGTCCTTTCGAGTTGTCTTTCTTATACCATGATATTTAACTGTATCCATGGAGGCCGGTGGTGTTCATGTGATTACAGAAATATCACAACACGGGCACCCCAGTCTAAAATTTGAGCTTGCCTGGCACCAACACACCACGAGACATCATTCGACGAAAGGACATATGTGTACCTCTACAGTGACTGTAGTTATACAGCAAATCAAGCCGAGAAAAATGTATATGTAATGTAGTATTCTAAAGCTGTCTGAAAATCCCTGTCTCATGTTTGATATCAAAAAGTATGAGGAATAGGCAACAGTGCCACATGTATTAGCTACGCTGTTTTGCCGACTTACATTGCACATCTGTCAAATTTCCGTAATTTTGGACAGGATGAAACGAGCTTTACGTTGGTTTCTGTAACATTTTTATGGGGCATTTCACCTGAATATGTCCTATATGAGGACGGCTGTTTAGGGAGACAGGATCATATAAAGACGACTGCCTAGGGAAACAGGGTCAAATGAGAACGTGTGTCTAGGGAGACAGGGTCATATGAGGACATGGGTCTAGGGAGACCGGGTCATATGAGGACGGCTGTCTAGGGAGACAGGGTCATATGAGGACATGTGCCTAGGGAGACAGGGTCATATGAGGACATGTATGTGCCATTGGAAACAAGGTCATCTGAGGACGGTTGTCTAGGGAGACAGGGGTCATATGAGGACATGTGTTTAGGGAGGCAGGGTCATATGAGGACATGTGTCTACGGAGACTGGGCGTTATGAGGACGGCTGTCTAGGGAGACAGGGTCATATGAGAACATGTGTCTAGGGAGACAGGGTCATATGAAGACTGATGTCTAAGGAGACAGGGTCATATGAAGACATGTATGTGCCAAGGGAAACAGGGTCATCTGAGGACGGTTGTCTAGGGAGACAGGGGTCATATGAGGACATGTGTCTAGGGAGACAGGGTCATATGAGGACGGCTGTCTAGGAAGACAGGGTCAAATGTGGACGGTTGTCTAGGGAGATACAAACAATTAACATCATATAAAGACGCCTGCCTTTAGAGACAGGGTCATATGATAATGGCTGTCTAGAGAGACAGGGTCATATGAGGACATGTGCCTAGGGAGACAGCGTCATATGAGAATGGCTGTCTAGGAAGACAGGGTCATATGAGGACATGTGCCTAGAGAGACCGGGTCATATGAGGACGTGTGTCTAGGGAGACAGGGTCATATGAGGACATGTGCCTAGGGAGACAGCGTCATATGAGAATGGCTGTCTAGGAAGACAGGGTCATATGAGGACATGTGCCTAGGGAGACCGGGTCATATGAGGACGTGTGTCTAGGGAGACAGGGTCATATGAAGACGGATGTCTAGGGAGACAGGGTCATATGAGGACGACTGTCTAGGAAGACAGGGTCATATGAGAACATGTGTCTAGGGAGACAGGGTCATATAAGGACACGTGTCTAGGGAGACAGGGTCATATGAGGACGGCTGTCTAGGGAGACAGGGTCATATGAGGACATGTATGTTCCAAGGGAATCAGGGTCATCTGAGGACGGTTGTCTAGGGACACAGGGGTCATATGAGGACATGTGTCTATGGAGACAGGGTCATATGAGAATGTCTGTCTAGGGAGACAGGGTCATATGAAGACGGATGTCTAGGGAGACAGGGTCATATGAAGACTGATGTCTAAGGAGACAGGGTCATATGAAGACGGATGTCTTGGGACACAGGGTCATATGAGAACGTGTGCCTATGGAGACAGGGTCATATGAAGACGGGTGTCTAGGGAGACAGGGTTAAATGAGGACGACTGTCTAGAAAGACAGGGTCATATGAGGACGGCTGTCTAGGGAGACAGGGTCAAATGAGGACATGTGCCTAGGGAGACCGCGCCATATGAGGACGGCTGTCTAGGGAGACAGGGTCACATGAGGACGGCTGTCTAGGGAGACAGGGTCATATGAGGACATGTGTCTAGGGAGACAGGGTCATATGATATGTGCCTAGGGAGACAGGGTCATATGAGGACATGTGCCTAGGGAGACCGGGTCATATGAGGACGTGTGTCTAGGGAGACCGGGCCATATGAGGACGGCTGTCTAGGGAGACAGGGTCACATGAGGACGGCTGTCTAGGGAGACAGGGTCAAATGAGGACATGTGCCTAGGGAGACCGCGCCATATGAGGACGGCTGTCTAGGGAGACAGGGTCATATGATATGTGCCTAGGGAGACCGGGTCATATGAGGACATGTACCTAGGGAGACCGGGTCATATGAGGACGTGTGTCTAGGGAGACCGGGCCATATGAGGACGGCTGTCTAGGGAGACAGGGTCACATGAGGACGGCTGTCTAGGGAGACAGGGTCATATGAGGACATGTGTCTAGGGAGACAGGGTCATATGATATGTGCCTAGGGAGACAGGGTCATATGAGGACATGTGCCTAGGGAGACCGGGTCATATGAGGACGTGTGTCTAGGGAGACCGGACCATATGAGGACGGCTGTCTCGGGAGACACCAACAGCCAGGGTCATATTTGGACGGGTGTCAATAGGGACATCAAATGAATGTTTAGGGCGTACCAACAGCCAGGGTCATACGGGGACGTGTGATAAGGGAGACGGGGTTACATAAGGACGGGCATATGGAGAGACACTAACAGCTAAGGTCATTTTAGGACGTATGTCTAGAGAGACACCAACAGTCGGGGTAATATGAGGACAGGTGTCTAGATAGACACCAAGAGTCAGGGTCATATGAGGACAGGTGTCTAGGGAGACAACAACAACCTGGGTCATATGAGGACAGGTGTCTAGAGAGACACCAACAGTCGGGGTCATATGAGGACAGGTGTCTAGGGAGACACCAACAGTTGGGGTAGTATGAGGACAGGTGTCTAGGGAGACACGAACAGTCGGGGTCATATGAGGATAGATGTCTAGAGAGACACCAGCAGTCGAGGTAATATGAGGACAGGTGTCTAGATAGACACCAGCAGTCGGGGTAATATGAGGACAAGTGTCTAGGGAGACACCAACAGTCGGGGTAATGTGAGGACTGGTGTCTAGAGAGACACCAACAGTCGGGGTCATTTGAGGACAGGTGTCTAGGGAGACACCAACAGTCGGGGTCATACGAGGACAGGTGTTGACAGCAAGGGTCCTTTAAGGACAGATGTCATGAGGGACACCAAGAACGGGGGTAATATCTGCAGACAGGTGTCTTGGGAGACAACAATAGACAGGGTCATAAAGGAACAGGAGTCCAGAGGAACAACAAGATAGCAGATAGGAAATAAAGTAGCACATCAAGCGCACAAGTGTGTATTGGGGCAAACGTATCTGTTTTTGGTGTCTTCAATATCCCCTTGGTAGAAAACAAGCAAGAAACTCGCCGACACTGCAGGTATTCGAGGTAGGCAGAGACACATCTCGTCTCTTTCTACGACCATGAAGTGATATAGTTGCCCCACAATTAATCGCCTATTACGATATGCTCGATACAGCAGACATATTACTCCACACTCCAGCACGGGCTTCTAAATAGC